TAGAGTACTAAATTAGGTCCAGAATGACGATTTCGTGAAAATCGGCCTACATTTAGATATAGCCCCCATATATAGGTTTGTCCGATTTTAAGTAAATGGTGCACCAAAGTCCCTATATATTCTTCGATTTGCATGAAATTTGGCACGGTGTACTGAATTGAGTCTAGAATGATTTGTGCTAAGTTTCGATAAAATCGGTTCAGATTTATATATATTTTCGTCCGATTTAAGGTAAATGGGGCACCAAAGAGCCTATATATCTTTTGATTTGCACGAAATTTGTCACAGCGTACTGAATTAAGCCTAAAATAATGTGTGCTAAGTTTCGTGAAAATCGGAATGATGTATTCTAAGTTTCGTAAAAATCGTTTCAGATTTAGATATAGCCCTATATATATTTCGTCCGAAATTTGCCATAGCGTATGGAATTGAGTCTAGACTGATGTGTGCTAAGTTTCGTAGAGATCCGTTCAGATTTAGATATAGCTCCCATATATATGTTGGTCCGATTTTGAATAAATGGTCCAATTTACACGAAATTTTGCACAATGTATCAAATTGAGACTTGAATGACGTTACTGGGTTTTGTTGAAATTGGTGCAGATGCAGCCATAACTTCTATATGTATTTCGAACGCAACCATAAATTGGTTGCCGAAAAACATGAGTATATTCCCTAGAGGTAGCATTAACATAGAATTGTAAGGATACATATGTTCAAGTGGTTCAGCAGTTAATGAGTTTATACCCAATTTTTAGTAAATACTCGAAATAGGGGTACCTTTGTATGGGGGCTACCAGTAAACGTGGACCTACATACATAACATTTTGCATGGACATTTGGTACCCAAAAAGAACACTATGTGTCAAATTACAGCCAATTTGGTTGTAAAATGTGCCTAATAGACAAAAAAATACCTTAAATCCGGAGATACGGTTATATAGAGGCTATATCAAAACTTGGACCCAGGGACCATGTTGGATTTCTATATTTGCTTTGACATTAGAAAAATGTGTGCAAAATTTTGGCCGCCTATGTCAAGTGGTTCGGCAGTTAATGAGTTTATACCCAATTTTTGGGTAAAAACTCGGGTATCTACACACGTCTTTAAAGTATCGTAAAACTATCCATTGTAAATCGATTTGATAACAGAAACCCGGAAATAGGGTGTATAATGTTGTATTACCGATTCAATATAGTAAATACCCAAATAAATACCCGCAAATGGGTATTTACCCACCCCTTGGGGTGGGTATTTACCCGGTAAATACCATCTCTAACAATATACCCAAAGTGGTAAAGGCTATTATACAGTCGGCCCAGTCCGACTTTACTACTTTCCTTACTGGTTTATAATTAATTATATATATTTGTTGTTCTATAAATTTGAATATATATATTTTTTAAAATAAAAAGTATAAATAAAAAAAAAATATTTAAATTCTTTATTTTAGTTATTTTTTGATTATATTTGTAAAAAATTCTTAAAATTTATTTTTTAAAAATTTAAAGAAAAATAATTTTAAAGTATTTCTGTATTTTTATATAAAATATCCAAAATATAGATATATCGACGAAAAATTTTTAACATTTCCCCTTTTCTAAATTATCCATGTAGTTAAGATTCTAGAAACTATATTAGTTAGTCCATTCTATAGACCATATAAAACTTTGTGGTAAAATTTATATACAAAAATCGTAAATATATATTTCTCTTGTTCTACTTTTTTCTTCTACCAACGCGTTAAACATATATATCGCTCTATTTTTATTCTTCTGTAGTTTTTACAGGTTAATATTTTTTATTGTTGTAATTTACATGTTGAAAAAATCATGTCATTTCATTCAATATCATCTTAGTTGACTAAATATTTTTTTAGAGAAAAAAACTGAATATTTTTAGATTAGATAGCTTAGAATAGAATATTTGACTTGATGCAAAATATTTTTTTTAAAAAAATTATAGAAATTAAGATCATTTATTTTCGAAATTTGTCAATGAAAGGTTTGACCTAGGTTTAAAAGAATTGAGATATTTTTTCATAATTTTTAGCTTTCTTTCGATAAAAATAATTTTAAAAAAATGATTTCTTTTCAAAAATCTTTGTCAAAAATACAAAAGATTTTGAATTTAGGTTTGGAGTATGAATCGGGAACTGATGTTATTAATATTTGTCTCTTAACTCTAAACCTTAAACTATAAATATAGGACTGGATATATATTACACCTACATCGACTAAAAAACATGCGCAACAAATACTCCAATGCATTCTAATGCAGTGATTAGCTAACGCACAATGTGCGGCAATCTTTTAATATATAATTTACCAACTCACCCTTGATCTACAATTTTTCTTTCAATTTCATAATTAGAATTATTTTTTATAATAAAATTCTCTAACTATTTTCTTATTAACCCTTTGAGCTCCAAATTTTTTCCACAATGTGGGATTTTAGACTCTTATCTTAAAACACTCCAACGATCAAATCTTCTGTAACATAAAATTCTGTTCAAAATATTTTGAACATGCTGACGACTGGCAAGAAGATCTGACAAATTCAGTTTCTCTTCAAAGCATTTTGAACATGCTGACCACTCACAAAGGGATGACAAATACAAGATTTATTTTTTTTTAAATAGATTGATCCCTTGTGGTGTTTTCTTAAATCTACTCATACATTCTTATATAAATCTAAAGTAATGTGATCAGGATTATTCTAACATACATACTAACAAGTAATATCAAATATAAAATCTTAACGTATAAACTGAAATTAAGAAAAACTAAACTCTACTTGACGGCACCCAAGAATCTTCGCAGCCAATTTTTTTATAGAGCCTCGATCAGAATTTCCTCCACCTTCGTCTACAGGTTTCATTATCCAACCATCGTTTTTCTTAGGAAATTTCTCTCTCCACTCTTCGATGGCCGGAGGTTTCTTCCCGCGACAATGCACACCTTCGACTGGCTTGAGGCTTTCTTCTTCCGTTTTTCTAAATTTGGAGAAGTGATTAAATACAACACAATGTAAATTACCTTCGGGGATTAGTGAACTGTATTCCTGTTTAAACCCAAGCGTCACTTCTTGCTTGGCATCCACATCCAGGAGAACAACATCACAATTTTCTTCTACGTTGCTTTCTTCATCTTCAGGGTAATCGACTTCTTTTTCCTGTTTCCTAAGATCCGTTCCGCTATCTTCCTTTTTGTTAAGCTGGCCCACAAATTCTGCCTCGGTAAACTACTGGGTTTCTTCTTGCTTCTGCTTTTCGTAGTCATCTATTTCTAACTCATGTTTTTTTCTCCAGTGGACTATCTCCATCAATGCCTTTTGTAACTAAATTCCCTCCGCAGTGAGGGCTTGCCGGGGGCACCAAAATGTCGTTTGAAGATTCCAGCTTATTATGCAGCACCTCCTTTACATCAGAGTATATATCTGCCATACGGTTCAATTCGGAGAACATATCTTCAGAAAATTCCACATTTTAAAATTTTATAATGAACTTTCTGATCTCCATATATGAAGCCTTCAGATATTCCATCTCCGTTAGGGCTTTCTTTATTGACATTGTAGTCATTTCATTTTTTATGTCATCGCATCGGCTAATCACATAATCAGCTTCATTGTATATTTCCTCTAATGCGAAATCATAAATTCTCATGTTCTTGGCGTAGATCGGACAATAGAACTCCAAATAATTCCGCTTGATTCCATCCACTTCCATTACAATGGTTTCACACTTTTGGGTCACCTGCTCTAGAGTTGCAGTTATATTTTCATTCTTGATTTCGGATTCAAGTTGCTTCAGTTCAGCCAACTTGTCTTTAATAATCTTAGCCCATTCCTTTAGTATACCTTTTGGCCGGAAGGGTATTCATTCCTTTAAATATGCACATGTGGCGTTTAACTCCTGTGCTTCTCGATTAAACCGCCTGTACATCGTTCTCGTTCTCTACTTCTCATCAAGTCTTTTTTCCCAAGACTCTATGGAAAAATCTAACTCCATTTTATTTTTTTAATAAAAACTGTTCACTTCGCAGAACAGAAAATCACAATACTTGAGCTCCTCATTTCAAAGCAAATCGCTGATTCAACTGAGTCTCTTACCTCGAAGGAGTCTCTTATCATCTGTATAATAAATTAAGACACGACACGGTGACCCCGATCGTTCTAGTTCAGTGTTTGTGAGGCACTAATTTTATTTTAAAAATATTTATCCTTAGGTTCTACTTAAACAACTCTTGCTTAGCCTAATCTCAAACACAAAATACTTATCAATAAACTATTTGTTCTAATAATAGAATTTGATCTGTGGAGAGTTTTCCCATCGTGTGCGTCATAAAATCCCAACGTCTTGCATGTGGAATTTTAGACTCTTATCCTAAAACACTCCAACGATCAAATCTTCTGTAACATAAAATTCTGTTCAAAGTATTTTGAACAAATAAGATCCAATATCAAGAAAACCAAATGCAAAATCGACAGAAAAATAATTTTAAATTATTTTCTATATTCATTTTTACTAGAATCAAAAATAATGCTGATGGCAGAATTCGTACAATTTGAAGGATTAAATAAATTGCTATGAATAATTTTTCTATAAAAAAAATCCATATTTGTGTATGGGTCTCTATGTGTATCAAGTCAAACATTTAGGTTTTTTCAATCATCAATAAAAACAAAGCTTTTAGATTAGATAGTACATTTTTTTCACACCCATTTCATTGTATAGAAAAAATATATAGTATAAAATTATTTTTCAAAATATATATAATAAGTAGTTTAATTCAAATTTCTTTACCATCAAAAATTTCTTTTAATTTATTTTTTTATGTAAAATTTCATCGATTTTTGTTGAAATCATCGGACCACAATTTATCATCAACATCATGATCATCTGCATATCATCCACCAAAAAACACAACAATATTCTGAAATTGAAAAAATATAAAAAAAAATATTTAAAACCCACTCACACATACCCACAACGAAATAGACGTCGCCTAGAACCATTGTTCGAGGAGGAAACGGAAAGTGATGAAGAGAAAACGCAACAGGAAAGTGAAGAATTGAAAAAGGTGGGTCACCATTACAAAAATTGCATGTCAACAACAAGCCACAAATAACAACAACAAAAATTAAAAAAAAACTGCAACAAAAGCAAGAAATTTTCTAGAAACTTTTTTTGAAATTTATTTTAATTATTTTGGGATTTTTTTAAATCAAGGCATTCATCATGCTAATCATAAAAAATATTATTTTGTTTTCAAAGTACAGAGAGGGTAATTGGGAACATTTTTTCTCTTCAATCTTATTTGCACTCATCACAATTAATTTTTTTATACTTCTTCTCATAATATATTTTTCTCTTTTTGTTCTTTTTCATTATTTTTATTCTTTCATGCCAAAATGTCATTCAACCATTTCATCATCGCCATGTCATCCACAACAATAAAACGAACACCATTTTTGAAAAATAATATTATTTTTTGAAAATAACATTTTTTTCTCATACGCTGCCATCTATGTGTTTGTAATTGTACCATTTTGTTTAATTGTGTGCGTGTAACCTTTTTCTTACTTTGCTTGTTCTATGTGTTATTGTATGTCGTTCCGTTCATTTGTCTCTCATCCATTCGTGTTTCACTCACCCAACCATAAATCAATAGAAAGTTGTAGTTAAATTAGTGAAACTCTAGCAAAACGTTCAATACTGCAAAGTTGTACACATTAAAGGCAACTGATGCAGCGCCATCTATGTTTGGCACTATGAATTACAAACAAACCATAAAATTCAAATACACCCACAAAAAAACTATACCCGGACAGAAGCAGTGTTGCCAATTGGGATTGGTTTTTACATACAAACATAATATTCAATCAACCAAAACAAATTTATCTCAAGGCCCTGGATCCTCAGGATCGGAGAATCCACTTACCAATCTTCCAGACACTTGGTCCTGTACTCAGAGCTCATAAGGAAAAAATATAGAATCCAGGGATCCCAACTATGCAAACACTTATCAAATAAATGTTCATTACCTCAAAAATATGTAAATAGGAATCATCAGACCTCAGGATCCGAAAATCCACCTAACTACCTATGGGACCAATTTTCTTCCCAAAATTAATTGTCTTCACTTAACAAGGAATATTCCGCATCAAATAGAATTATTTTTTGGGTCTTGCAAAGGTTTGTCACAAAGCCACAGCCCTGTCCCCCTGACACCTTAAAAAATATATCAACAGGAATCATCAGATCTCAGGTTCTTAAAATCCACCCAGCCATCCTAGGAACCAAACTTTTCCCAAAAATAAGTCATCTTCTGCTACCCAAGAATATTCCACGTTAAACTCAACCCTTTTCCGGGCCCTGCAAAGCTTTACTTCCACGCAACAGCACTTCTCCCTGACTCCTCAGAAATATTTCATCAGGAATCATCAGACCTGAGGTTCTTAAAATGCACCATGCCATCCATGGGACCAAATTTTCCCCCCCAAAAATAAGTTATCTTCAGTTACCCAGGAATATTCTACATTATATGCAACCCTTTTCCGGGCCCTGCAAAACTTTACTTCTACGCAACAGCACGTCTCCCTTACTCCTCAGAAATATTTCAACAGGAATCATCAGACCTCAGTTTCCTCCAATCCAAAATTATTATTTTAAATTATTTTCAGTTATCCAGGAATATTCCACGTTAAATAAAACTCTTTTTCCGGGCTCTGTAAAGCTTTAATTCCATGCCAGAGCACTTATCCCTGACTCTTCATAAATATTTCAACAGGAATCATTAGACCTCAAGTTCTTAAAATCCACCCAGACATTCATGGGACCAATTTTCTCCCACAAATAAATTCTTTTCAGTTACCCAGGAGTATTTCAGGTTAAATTTAACTTTTTTCCGGGTCCTGTAAAGGCTTGTTACCAAGCCAAAGCCCTTCTCCCTGAAGCCTCAAAAAATATGTACAACGGAATCATCAAACATCACGATCTTATAATTCACCCATCAAACCATGGGACCAAATTTTTCCGTCAGAAATATTATTTTCAGTTACCCAAGAATAATCCGCGTCAAATGGAACCTTTTTTCCCGATCCTATAATGGGTTATTTTCAAAACATATAACTTCTCCCTGAAGACGCAGAAGAACGTTAAGAGGAATCATCAGGCCGCAGGAGCTGAAAATCCATCTAACTACCTATGGTACCAATTTTTCTCTCAAAAATGATTGTCTTTAGTTAACAAGGAATATTCCTCGTCAAATGTAAAAAATTTTCCGATCCAGCAAACGTTTTTTTCTCGAAACAGCTCTTCACCCTGACTCCTCAAAAAATTTAAACAGGAAGTATTAGACCTCCGTATCAAAAAATCCACCCATCCCACCATAAGACCAATTTTTCCCCTCGAAAAAAATAATCTTCCACGTTCAATGGAACTATTTTCCGGGCCCTGTAAAGGTTTGTTTTCAAGCCAGAGCCCGTTCATCAAACACCTCAAAAATTGTTTATACAGGAATCATCAGGTTTCAGAAGCAGAGAATCCATTTAACTTTCTATGGGACCAATTTTTCTCCCAAAAAAATATTTACTTCAGTTACCTAAGAATATTACATGTTAAATGTAACCATTTTCCGGATCCTACAAAGCTTTGATTGCAAGCCACAGCATTTCTCCCCAAGGCCTGAAAAATATTTCGAAAGGAACCATTACGCCTCAGGATATGAAATTGCACGCAGCCATACATGGAACCAATTGTTCCCCAATTTTTTCGGTTACCAAGGAATAATCCTCGTTATATATAACCCGGTCTTGGATCCCACAATAGTCTCTTTCCAAGTCACAGTATTTTTCCTGATGCCGCAAAAATTTTTATAAACAGGAATCATCAGACCTCACGATCCGAAAATCCATCCAACTACCTACGGGATCAAGTTTTTCCCCAAAAAGTATTTTCTTCAGTTACCCAGGAATACTCCACGTTAAATGGTATCGTTTTTTGTGTTTGATTTCAAGCCACAGCCCATCATTCTAACACCGGGGTAATCAGAACTTCATTGCTTCACTAAATAACAAATTCCAATAAACCCAATAAACGGCAACACTGCTCCCCAAAAAGTAAAGAAAAACAAACAAACCACACCACGCTTCTGCAACCCAGGTCCTCAACAGCTCGCCTGGGACCGACTACCCACCCGCCTAATCGTTTCTATACAAAGTCGCTTGCTTTAAACCAGAATTGATTAGTTGAATTCTATTTCAAAAAAATTGGTAGGGGGAAACAACGACAAATGGCCACTATTTAGAGGATTCGGAAGCTGGAAGTTCCAGCGAGGAGGAGGAAGCGGAGGACGAGGGGGAGGAGGAGGAGATGGAGGATCATGTGAATACAGCGGATTACGAGGAGGAGGACGAGGATTTGACCTCAACGGAGGAACGGCTACAGCCACAGCTGCAAACCACAATTTTGGGTCCTCGACCCTTGACTACAACACCAGTTGGTCAAGTAAACGTTTTACCTCCAGCAGTACTGAAGGCCTCATCTTGCGAGTACCTCTTGGATCGGCCTATGATCAGCAACGAGGCTACAACAATAATGGCTACGACGATGGCTACAACAGCCGGCAGCGTTACAGCAGCAGTCGAAGTCGCAACCTGCTCGACGAAGATGATGACGACGTCGACGACTACAGTAACGATGATGACAGCAACAACAACAGCCACCGCAGCCATGACAACGCCGGCAATGGAGACCTCTACTACGATGGCCTCAACAACACGGACAACACCGAATCGGGTAGCCTCGTCGGCATCTACAACAATCAGCAGCGCGAACGTCACTACCGCGAGCGAGAAAGACGTCAAAACAACAATGCCGGCGGAGCCGAAGAACGAAGTGAAAATTGTGCCACGACCAGCGAAATTTATACCACCTCCACCGCCGCCACGTCGTCTCTTATTGACTCAAACAAATCTCAAGACAAGTGGAGCGGATACAAAAACAGCGGCAGCAAAAGTGGTGAGTTTTTTTTAAGTCTATAGAAGAACCTTAAAAAATATTTTTAAGGTCCTTCCTTTAATATCCATTTGGAAGGTCCTTCAAAAAATATTTTTAAAATGTCAGGCCTGTGGATTCTTTTTAAAAATATTCTTAAAAGTCCAATAAAAAATATTTTTAAAATTCCTGTCCTATCTGAGGTAGACTAAAAATCTTTCAAAAATGTTCCGTAAATTTTATTCTCACTAATATTTCTCTCTCTCCTCTTTCCTCACTCATTTTTCTTATCCTTAGCCCCAACCTCAACGAAAATCTGGCGGTTTTGCTGACACTGGCTCTTCCGTGGGTGCCAAAGAAGGCGCGGCTTACGACGCCAGCCCTGCTATACCCACGGCAAATATAGTCGGACCGCAACACACGAAGATCACGACAACGACAACCACCACGAACACGACGACGATGAAGATGACGACAGCGACACCGAAAACTACCAACGTAGAGGATGTTATCAGAAATTATTCCGCAAAACCCACAAACAGGAGCATGTGCGACTCAATGAAACCCCCAACCGGGCAACCACAGCCACAACAGCCTCCGGAACCGCAACAACGACTATCATCAACAATAATCGAGACCTCATTGCTCAGTCTAATGGACAACAGCAGCAGCTGCAAAACCAATCGAACGCACTGCACATCATCAACAACAGCTTCGAAGATGAAGGGGAAATGTCCCATGAAACCCGAACGCAAACAGGTGGCAACGACACAAACCCCGACGTCGCGAGATTTGGATCAGCAACTGCAAATGGAGATGCAGCGACGACCGCAGGACGAACCCGAAAACGATTCCACATCGACTTGTGCACAGCCCGTAGTAGTTGGCTCGGCCTTAAGTCCTCGCCTCGAGATGCGTTTGGCCCTCAATCAGGATATAATGGGCGACGAAGATTTGATAAGTTACGATCCTGGGCCAGATCTAACAACTATTCTGGTGTAAGTAGATGCAATGGGAGTGTTTAGGATTTGCTCTAAATTTCTATTTCGTCTCCAGGCACGACCTCTCAACATTTCATCGTCTGACGGGCAGAGATTTATTGAATCGCTCGGCCATGAATCGGGTTCAACCAAAAGAGGCTGTCATATCGTACTCTCAACAGCGAAACTCGAAGATGGATACGCCCACAGTGAATCGCAGGCCACGACCTCATCTCAACAGCAGCACCAACAACGGTCATGCGGCCACCAACACCACCACCTGCACCGGCATAACGGCGCCCAGTCCGACAACGACAGCGGCCGTCTCGTCAATGCCCTTCGCTGGTTCGGTACGTGTCGGCGACGTTCAACAACACCTGCAGCCAAATCGAAATACATGGAGCAGTTTTGCATTTGCGGATCGAAATCGAGACGCGAACGCCAGCGACGCAAACAGCAAAGACGACAGCAAGCTAAGCGATCTCGAAATCTTAGCGAGACGAGAGAAGATATATTGCATGTCTCAATTGAGGAGTGGCTCACGAGTCAAGACGATGACGACGACGATGATGACATCAACGAAAATCAAGGCCTCCACAACAACAACAGCGACCGTCAGCAATTCATTGAACAATCCTCTGATGAGGACGACGAGTACTACTTCGATGGCCGGTGTGAGTGAAGAGGCGGGTAGTAGCTCGAAAAAGAGCCAGAGTCGACAGCGTAAAATAAGTCGTGATGAGACCGCTCTAATGGAAACGGGCAAGGCAAATAAATTGTGAGTGAAAAAAAATTGAGAAGAGTCACAAAAATAAAGGCTAATTTGAAAAAAATATCTCTTGCAGAATAAATTTTATTAAACGTCGCAATTCTGAAATACCCCCGAGCGCCAATAACTCACAAACCTCGCTTAATGATTCCAATTCTAGTAGCACGCCTCAGCACGCCAAGCAGGCACCGATGTCGCCACGCAAGGATAATGTAAGTAAACAAGCCAAAAAAATGTGGCGCCCAACGTGGGGCAAGAAACTGCAAAACATCACCCACCGGCCTAAATTTTATAAAAAAAATTTAGGGACCTTCTATAGGCCTGGATTTTTTAAAAATAGTTTTAAAAGGCCTGCCATAAGGCGTGGATTTTTTAAAATATTTTTAATGCCTACGTTAAGGCGAGGATTTTTTAAAATATTTTTAAAGTCTACCTCAAGAAGAGGAGTTTTTTTCTCATTATTTTTAAATGGCGCCCAACGTAAAATAAACTAATTTCCTCTTTATTTTCCATTCATTCTAGGACAAACCGTCACTGAATCGCCGCCTTTGGAAACAAATTACAAAACGACGACGTTCTAATTCGGTTTCCGAACTAGTGGCATCTTAAAGTCACTGTACCCCCCCGCCACAGCACCTTTGACATTTTGGTTCTGCAGCTTTAGCAACAAAAGCAAATAAAACAGCAAACTTTTGTGATTATAAATCCCGGCCAATATCTTATTTCGATATATTCGGTTCCAAAAAGCATAGTTCAACTAAAAACAAATTTGTGGTAGAGATGTAGCAAAAAAGGTAATTTTCGTATTTTTTGTCGAATGTAAAACGAACTGATTTACTATTAGATTAAGGCTTTGAATGTAAAGACGAAGAAAAACAAATCCAAAAAATAAGAGATACACCAATTTTTGTCCTTTTTATGATAGTCAAAAATGAGAAGAAGAAGCAGAATAAATAAATATTAATTGTCAATTATGTTGCTTTACAGAGAGGAGGAAGAGAATTTTCCTGCCGAAGAAAAAATTAATAATAAATTAAGAGCTTCAAAGCTTAGATCTCACATAGATATAAAAGAAACAAAAACATGGGACCCAGTATTTTGAGAAAATCAAGTGCATTGTTATATGGCAGATCTTCAAGCCTCTATGAATTTGTCTTCTTCTCTAGAAAGATTTAACTTTGAAGCATTGAGTCCAACGTAATAATTACATCATCAACCTTGCTTTAGATTCCTCTGAACTGTCCTCATAATCAAGGCAATTTATACAATAAATGCATAGCCCAATCGGCACTATTTCCGTTGATTTCTCTTGAACATTTGTACGGTCCTATTAAAGCTACTCGAACTTCTTTTGGAAGCGCTGAAGTCATCCCTACACAAATCGAATCATATCTGTGGCTATCTAAAGCAATCTCAATAATTTTAACTTATACCATTTTTATTTTCAAGTGAATGGGAATTCTTGTGGCATCGATCACTGAAATACCACTTTAGTTCTGTGTTTGGATAGACTTAGCTTAGCCCCAACCCGGTTTATTACATGTTATCGAAAATGCGATTCCTAAAAATCGTTCTATGCTACTCTGACGCCATCTAGCTTTGAAAATCGATCAACGGAAATTATCAGGTTATGTTTATGAATGTACAGGGACTGTACAGTTTTCCTATATGAAAAATATTTTTCGGAACGCCAAAAAATTTGTAAAAAAAAACTATTTACTATACGAATGAAAAAATTGAAAGCTAAACAGGATAAAAACTAACTTATTTTCTAATTGCACCTAAAATAGACTTGAGAATTTCCTGCCATACTTATTTTGTTTTAGTCAAAGAAAATTGCAATACTTTAATGAAGACAACTAACAATTGGAATGGAATTTGTTGTAAAAAATAAATTCTGAAATGAAAAATAAACTTTTTTGTAGCATAAGGAAATTAAAAATAATTATAAATTTATTAATTAATAAAAATAAAAATTAAAAATAAATTTACATCTAGAAATATTTTAATATGCCTTAGAAATTTTAAAAAATCCAAAAGAAAATCATTTGAATAACATAATATATGAAATAATTATTTTTTAAAAATAAACAACAACAAAATATTTTATTAAAAAACAAAAATGAAACAAATCAAAGTATCGCACCATTCTTATTTAAATTTTAAGAAACAAATAAAAAAATTGAAATAAATTTGTGCAGTCATTTAAATTGTAAAAAAAAAAATCTGAATAAACAATGGACTGTTTGTAAAGTCAATATTAAATTAAATTTGAAAATTAAAAAAAAAACAATACGAGAAACATTTTTTTCTTCTTAAAAAATGACTAAAATCTTAAAATTAAATAATTAATAAAAAACAATAAATTAAGGGGAACTAAATTAGTTATAAGAAAAAATATTATTGAAATATTCTTGTCAAAAATGTCCACAATAAAATTTATTTATACAAAAATTAAAAAAATATATTTTAAAACATACATTTTTTTAAATTATAAAAAAGTTTGAATTTTATTTCAATCTTATTATTTTATTTTAAAAATATGTTAAAATTTGTCAAAAATTAGTTAAAAAATTAATAAATAAAGAAATGATTTTTTTTTTTCTTATACTTATTATAATTGCTACTTATTTATAATTTAAATATTTAAATATTATTTTAATAAGTATTCTCAATTTTAAAATATTTTTTAATTAATAAATAAATGTTTAAATATAACAAATGTTTATAAATTTAATAAATATATATATTTTTTCTTTAAATATGTTTATGTTTTTTTAATTACTTGTTTATATATATGATTTTATTAATTTGTAATTATAAGTATTTTTTTAATAAATAAGTGTTAATATATGAAAAATATAAAAATATTTTTATAAATTTATTTTAAAAATATTATTTATTTTATTAAATTTACTCGGTTATATTTTCTAATTTTTTCTAGTAATTAATTATATAAAAACCAGTGAGCGAAGCAGTATAGTCGGACGGGACCGACCATATGATATCCTACACAACTACCACGAAAATCTAACTTTCAGCGGTTCTATATTCTGAGCCTGGGCTATATTTCGAGATATTTGCACCCTTTTTACCGATTATAGATCAACAACTTCACTTTCTAACCCTGGCATATTTTCCAATTTTTTTTCTTGAAGTGAATTTTTACGTCGTAAAATAAAAAAATTTTCACTTTAGGTTTTGGTTGGTTTGACCCTCGGAATATTGACCGATCATCATCTAAACATCCGCTCTAAGTATTTGGTCAGATCCCCTTCACCTTGTAAAATATGTGATGTTCTGCATATAATAATTTCCTCTAGAGCGACTAGAAAATCTGACAAAATTAAAGTTTTCGGTTCATTGAACCCCCTGAATGAAATCTCATTCAGGGGGTGTCCTTGACCATAATCGGAAGTTCATGTACAATTTCAAAGCTATCGGCGCGACATTTCCGTCCTCCAATGGATTAATAGTAATACTATGCACATGTAAAGGTGACTTTACATCAGAGTACATGCAGCCAAAAGTTTGGTATTAATTTGAAGGTCAACAACTCCCCTTGGGTATATGTCCTTCAGGAGCCCATATATATACGCCCCAGAATAAAAATTTTGTAATTTTTTACACAAAAGTCAGGGTTCATTTGACCTGTTTATTTAACAGGTCATATGAACCCTGACTTGACCGATCTTTATCAAAAGAGGCATGCTTATTCTTTGACACGATACTCTTCTCCATGTAAAATTTCACGATGTTCGGACCATAACTGCGGCCTCTGGAGCGACCAGAAAAAACGACAAAAGTATTTGGTCCATTTCAAAAGTATTTGGTCCATAACAAACTGACATACATGTCTAGATCGACTCAGCTGGTCGAGATATGACGATCGGTATACTTAAAGGTGGGTCTATGATCAATATATCACGGCGTTACAAACTCTTGGGGATGCACAAAGCTTTAATACCCTGATAACATAGTTGAGTAGGGTATACATATTACATATTTTACTTACTTAACTGGCTTGTGACAGAACATTTGTTCCATAAGCCGAGCTTAATAAAGATTTCCTCTTCCAATTTGTAAGACCCTATTCCAAAATATTCTCTTCCACTTAAACTTTACAGCTAATTCGTGGCTTTCCCCTTCAACGTGAGCCATCAGTTGGCTCGCTTTAATATGTTTTTTGTGCTGGGCCATTCTCATCCATTCTCACACGATGACCTAGCCAACGTATAATAATTATTATTATAAGCCGATGTACGATAATATATGGTACAATTCATGGTTCATTCGACGTCGATATTCACCGTCAACGCAGATCGGCCCATAGATCTCGCAGAGAATTTTTCTCTCAAACACTGCAAGAGCTGCCTCATCTGCTTGCGAAAGTACCCATGCTGCAGATCCATATAACAGCAGTGTGAGTTTGGCGAGAGGTGGCTTTTTTTTCTAAACTGCTTACTCAGACCATAGTAGCATCTATTGGTCATCGCAATTCTTCTCCGAATTTCAAAAGTGATGTCATTAGTTTTATTTATGGCGGTACCAAGTTATTTAAAATCCTTAACCACCTCGAAGCTGTAGTTCTCAAGTTCCACAGTTGGTTCGAGTCTACTGGACTTTTTGCGTGTTGATTCCATCAACATGGTCTTCCTGCCATTTACTGCCAGACCCAATTTAGCAGACTCCTTCTCAATTTATTCAAAGGTGGATGTTACCGTTCGCAATGTTCGACCCATTATAGCGATGTCATCGGCGTAGGCGAGTAACATGTGTTGTTTGGTGTACAGAGCGCCATTTGTGCTCACCTTTTCCTCTCGTATGACCTTTTCCAGCAGGATGTTAAACTGGTCACACGACAAACTGTTACCTTGTCTGAATCCTTGTTCGGTATTAAAGGGCTCCGATAGGTCCTTTTCTTATCTAAATTATCGTTTGGTATTAAATGGCCCCGATAGGTCCTTTCCGACTATAACTGCTGACCTTATGTCTGTTAATGTTATCCTGCATAGTCGTATTAATTTTGCAGGAATGCCAAACCTAGACATGAATTTAAACACCTCTGAACGCATAGGGCTGTCGAATGCGATTTTATAGTCGACGAATAGGTGGTATGTGTTTTTTCGTGGGTCTTTTCTAGGATTTGGCGCAGAGTAAAAATCTGGTCAATGATGGATTTGCCAGATCTGAAGCCGCATTGGTATGGTCCAATAATGCAATTGACCATTTGGCTTCAATCGTTCACACAGCACACTGGATAGCACTTTATATGTGATGGGAAGGAGACTTATTGCTCTATAGTTGACACTATCGTATTGTCTCCTTTTTTGGGTACGGCACACCGTCTGCTGAGGTTCCAATCATCGGACATGCATTCCTCTAGCTAAATTGTACTAATCAGCTGGTGCATGCTCCTGACCAGCATCTGACCACCAGTCTTGAATAGGTTTGGCTTTTAATCCATCGGTACCTGCTGCTTTATTGTTATTCAGCCGATTGTGCTATTGCTACTATGATCTCACCTTGGATAGCTGGTATACACTCTATACCATCATCTCTAATTGGTTCTGGTTCTTCACCGCCACTATTTGGTTCTTCTTCACCGC